AAGAAGGGAAATACCCTCAATGAAATGGATTGACACAGTGGCTACAATGATGGGCTCGAGTATAGCAAGGATGTGGCAGGCACAGGATCGGGCAGTGTTTCGTTCTGCTGTGCGTATTGTCACTGTGAGTCTGAGCCAACTCTATGGCACCTACCAACAGCACATCTTTATGAAAGCAGATCACCGGGTCTTTTCTGCTGTGGAGCCGTTGGATGGTTCCAAACTATCAACCTTAACAAGCAGTTAATCCTGACTACCTGCCCTGGGCCTGGCACTGCCCTTAGGGACTGCGACTCACAGTGAGAAAGCGAAGGCTCTCCTGTTATGGAGCTCTCAGACTTGTAGAGACAGGGAGGGAAGGCAGCCTCCGTGTTTTAACGCAAAGAGGTGAACATAAAAATGCAGGGAATCATATGGCAGCAAAGAGGCTATGAGGGTAACTTTACCCAGCCTCAGGGAATGGACCGGGCCTTGCTGTAAGAGAGAACAATCCAAATGACTTGTGAGGCTTGGTGAGTGAGCTGGAGTGAGAATGTGGAATGGGGGTGTCCCCTGGAGAGGGACTGGCCTGAGTCAAACACTCAGCATATGGAAACAGAAAGTGGTTTGACCATGACGTGGAAGCAGGAGTTTCTGCCCACGCCCCTTGCTTCTCCTTGCCTTCTATTTCAGAAACCTGGAGTCCTGTAGCATGTGTTACCCTAGTGCCCCAGCCAGCCCAGAAAGAAGCATATGTATGTGTGTGTTGCGTGTGTGTATGTGTGCATTGCGTGTGTGTATGTGTATGGACCCAGAGTCGCGGATTCAGCCCCATCCTGGGACAAGTGCTAAAGCCTCACACAGTTGAGTGACCCACATGTTATGTGTACAATGCAGACCTTTATTGTCAGAAGGCCTGGGCTGGGAGCCAGGAAACCTGGGTTCTGGTTCCACACACATGTTCTGTGGTCTTGGGTGAGCCATGGCCCCTTCCCTCCTTCATAGTGGAGCTACCGTTGAGAAGCTAAACTCATGGGAGGGCAGGAACTTTGAAAAATTTAAGCCCAAGATATGAATAATCAAGTTTGAATCCCAGGTCCACCGTTATTGGCTATATAACTTCAGGCAAAGTACTTAACCTGTCTGTGTCTCTGTTTTCTGGGGCTCATAGTAGTACGTAGTAATAGTACACACCTCACTGGTGAATGAGAACAATGAGTTGATAGTTGTAAAGAACTTACAAGACTGGGCAATAAGGGATAGTTATAATACTGGTCAACAAAAGAGGGGAAGGCCCTCAACAAAATAGATTGACACACCACTTGGAGGGGAATCTATGTA